CCATGTCTGTTTTGAATAGCATGTCACCGGTTTTTCATTATTTCACCATAGGCAGCTGCATTAATGTTTTGGTATGAAATCTACCATTATACAACTTTTCTTTCCAAAACATAGTGTACATGATTTTATATGTAAAAATGGTCTGTTTGAACTTCTGCTATGTTAGCAAGGTGGGGTACTTTTATTCCATTGATTGTTGTTTTGATAATGGCATGACATGGGGAGTCTTATTGCCAGTGACAATGCAGTTCATTGGTCCTCCCCCTTGACATAGATGCAGCAGCAAAACATTTACCTGTATGCTCTTCTGTAAACATTTTTGGGCCTACCAGCGGCCGAGCGGTAAAGTCGCTGAACACTGGTAGTTCGGTCCGAGGTTCGAATCTCGCAAAAGGGCTGGCTGCATGGGCGTTTCCGTGGTTTTCCCCATGTGTAACGTGTATACGAGCCAGTTTCCCTTAGAAAGTCCTCCACGAAGGCATCCCTCCCCTTAGGCAGATAGCCCTCGAGGCTTTGCCATAATCACACACACACACACACTCTGTAAACATTTTTGGTACCCACTATGCATGCACGTTTTGGTAAGCCACACGTTCAGTAACAGTTTTATGCAAAATGGTATGTGAAACTTTAAGAAATACCAACCAATGGTTGGAAATTGTGAAAGGTCTGTTCACATCAGTTTGATGAACCATTTCATAATTCATAGCAGATCGCCAGCCACTTCTCTCTTCGTGCATATTTGTTTTTCCTAAATTGAACAATAAAAAAATCTATCTCCTAATCATTCCCTTATTCATAGCTGTAACATTGTATACCTTACAGATTGCCTGTGGATTTCACATGGATGCATATTCTTTCTATTTAAAAAAAGAATTACAGAACAAATTTCACAGTCGGCAGGACATTGTACAATCTTAAACATCTTTAGTGCAACATTTTCACATGCCACCATTTCACCATAAGAACTTTTCTATAATAATGCATTCTTTTGTCATTGAAGATGCGATTCCACATAGGCAGATTACCGTCGTCTGTCAGGTGCATGAATTATGATATTCTGGAACTTATTGTCCTAACAACCCTTATATAAATTCAGGCATATGTACTGCTTAGTGTGATTAATAAAGATAAAATGCAAAGAAGGAATGTGGAAATAAAGTATTAAAAGAAAAGTATAGCTTAGGAAAAAAGCAAAGGTTTAAAGACCCTTGTTTCCATCCATCCAAATTTAATTTATTGTATTGTGCTCTCTTTAGATTTTGATAGTTTAATTATATGTTGCAAATTTTAATTAGTTATTTTTTACTTCCAGAGAGAAATAATTTCATCTAGTCTTCCAAATTTTGTGTCCCAAGACAGCTCTTGTGATAATCCTCCTATACTTCGAGTAAAGCCAGCCAGAGATGCTAAGATTTCTCCTCTTTCAATGTCTGCTGTAGATATTGCTTCAAGTTCTGATGTGTGCCTTGAGAAACATATGAAACTATCACATAAAACTTTATGTAAAGATATAAATAAAACAAAAAGAGCAATCCGTGTAAATCAAAAAATTTCTTGTGAAAAACAGATAGACAGCTGTGAAAACTCGGAGAAATCTGATATTCTGTTGGAAAATGCAACAGAAAGTACTGATATTAACCATCAAGTAGATCTGCCAGATATGTGTATGAAGCCAGTCCCTAATGATGTCTATTCTGTTGAACCTTTAACACCTCCAAAATCAGTTCCTGAGCTGGATGGCTCTTTGGATTCTGTGTCTGAAGCTCAGAGATCCTTATCTTTGTTAGCATCTATGTTAGATAACTCAAACAAAAAGGAATCACCATCTGAGTCTATGATTAAATCAGCTGACGAAAACAGAAAATGTCCATCACCAATAGATACTTCTTATAGGACACTTAACAGTGCATCTGCTTTTCCTGAAAAAACTGACCATTCAGTTGTTGGATCTGAATCCATTTTAGATTCAACTCAGCTTAAAAGTGGTATGGATAATAATATGACTCTTGGTGAGTTTCTTAGTTTGAATTCAAAAAAAGTTGCTCATTCTTCTGAACCTCTAGAGGAGAAAAAATGTATTCCAGATGGTGATTTTAATTTGCTGAAAGACGAAGAAAATCAAGATAACACAGAGAGTATATATCATAAAACTGTAAGAAATGGCTGGACTACTGAAGAAGCTGGATTTCTTACATTTGGGGAACTTTTTTTACTGGTAAGTTTTTATGCTATAACAGAACCCATTATTATAAAATTGTTTTATTGACTTCTGATGTTTTAAAATGCTGTGAAGCTTTTGAATGCAGTACTGTTTGTTTGATGTATTCTTGTATATGATGCTATTATATAAACTTGACAAATAATTTACCTTAATGTGTAATTCATCCAGCAGAAATTTTGATGGACAACTGAATGAATTGTTAATTGTTCCTATATTAAAGGTTTTATAGTTTCATATTATCTTATATCAAAGTTCTTATGTTATTAGTAAGTCTCAGTACCAAGAATTATTTATGTACTTTATTTATTTTTAAATAAAACTTCATTTCAGGGAAACTGAAACATTAACGGTTACTTGGTGATGTATTATACTCTTGTAAGGAATTAATAGCATCATCTTCATTGTTATTTAGATCCCACAGACCAGCGATGGGCAAACTTTTTTGGTCGCGGGCCAAAAATCGAAAAAAAAAATATGTGGTTGGTGGGCCAAGATAAATTTTAAAAACAGTATACAAATATTACAATTTAAATATTGTTGCGTGTGTATGGGTTCATGATAGATTGAATGCACAAGTGCGATAAAATGCTATATTCTTTGAAGACTGTTACAGCTTCATTACATATGAGACACACTGGTTTATCTTTTAAAACTGTAAAAAAATATTTTTAGTTCCATTCATTATTAAATGCACGGCACTGTGAATCAACTTTTTTAGTAGACATTTTGGGGTTGAAATATTTTACGAATAACCCAAACAAGCACTAGCTACGCTATACTTTTAATAATTTCACCACTATTCACAGTTATGCTGTATGTCCGCAATTTATCCATACACAATCAATAATATTGGAACTCGCCCCAAAAGAAAAAGCTGCTGGCTGCTGCTTAAAATGTGCAGTCTCCACATGTGAGGTCTAATTCACCTATATTTGATTCCTATATGTCTACTCCCTGAGAAAGAGATAACGCTTGTTGGTGCCAATCTACAGCTATAACTAACAAAGAATTTACTCTTTTAACACTTTACCGATTGTCTGTGCTTGCTATTTCCGTCGATTTATGTTTTTAGAACAAAACTGGAGAAAATAAAAAGATTGAAAAAAGGAAGAAAACATAATATTTAACATAGTAGAAAAGGAGATTGATATATAATATATAAATATATATTTCTTTTAGTTTGTCTCTCACTGGCAAATTTAAATTCTATCTGCAGGTTGAATAGAACCTTTCAGTGGGCCGGAGTTGGCCTGCGGGCTGTAGTTTGCCATAGACCCTTGATCAAACTACGAACTCCGGGAAAAAAAACATCATTCTTCAAATTGAGGCTTTTAGGTATCCTTAATGTGGTGACATCAAATGGTGGCAGTAGTGATTAATTTGTATTTATGGTTCCATAATTGAGAACTATTCACTCTTTTTTTTTTAACGAACTTTGTCATCTCCCCGTTAGCATTGAGTACCAAACAAAATGTTATGAGCAGCAAATCAGAACTTAACATTAAGAAAAAAGTATTTCTGAGAGCAGTAAAAAAGTGCCATGGGAATTTTGCTTCATAAGATGTGGCATCATCAAAAACTCTTAAGGTCTTTCTTCATGCTGTAAATATTGCAACATAAAGAGACATCTTTATATAACATTTATTTTTGAATAATAGTTTTCAGTTACAATGAAAAAAGTGGCATATCATTCTTGGAGTCTTAGATGCATTGAAATAGAATATCATAAAATTTCCCCGTTTTTTTTTTTTTTTTTCCCCAGCTATTATAAGATTTGGAACACCTTTTAAAATAATTCTGTACTGTGATAAATAAACTCATTCTAGTCAGACTATTGTGATCACCTCTGTAGAATACAAGGTATATTTCGCAACAAACACTTGTCAGCTATCATGGAAGAGGCAACCTAATGTCTGTGAACATGTAAACTGCTCTGTCGTAGATTTTTTTGTAGATGATCCATCTAGCTGATGTGCCCATGAAGTACTCAAAATTCCAGAATTTCACAAAATTTGTTATTTCTGAATTGCTATCACCTTTGGTTCAAAAGCTGATGATCACGTATTTTCTAAATACAACATATTGACTGTAATCTGGCTGATTATCAGAGTTGATTATCCGATTTAGGCAGGAGACTCCCGATTTTCGACCGCTCTCACGCCAACCCGATTTACAATATATTTCTCCCGACTTTTTCTTATTCTTAAAATTTCTCACGATTTTTATGGAACTTGGCTTAATACTTTGTTATATGAACAAACAAAAAAAAAAAAGTGATTTTGGACGTCTGAAAGCAATTGAATTTTCTCTAGATTATATCTAAAACAAAACCTTGTGAATTAGATAACTCCTTTGTGAGTGAGAGCATATACATAACCAGAAACTTCTTTCTCCAGTTCTCCAATGGGCATCGTCCATGTCATCTGGCAACTCTCCCGATTTAAGTGGGAGACTCCCGATTTTCGACCGCTCTCCTGCCAACCCGATTTACAATATATTTCTCCCGACTTTTTCTTATTCTTAAAATTTCTCACGATTTTTATGCAACTTGGCTTAAGACTTTGTTATATGAATAAAAAAAACAGTGTTTTTGGACGTCTGAAAGCAATTGAATTTTCTCTACATTATATCTAAAACAAAATCTTGCGAATCAGATAGCTTCTGCTTTGTGAGTGAGAGCATTATACGTATCCAGAAACGTTCTCCAGTTCTCCAATGGGCTTCGAGCTCCACTGCGGTCAGCTGGCATATATTAGCCAATGAGGGCAACGCAAGCTGTTATTTGGATGTTTTTTAGTTATTTTGGTCATTTTGTCCTGAGTTGTGTGAGTACGCGTGCCTTCGGGAAATAGTTTTAGAAATTATCATCTTATGTTATGTCTGCGAGAAAGGTGAAATACTCGTGTATGTTTCAAAAATCGTACACAGTTGACTTTCCTTCCATTATTTCCTCAAAGAAATGTAATAAATTTGCGATGTGTACCGCCTGTTGTTGCGATTTTTCGATTTCGCATGGTGGAAGGGCGGATATTCTCAAACATGTGCGTACACAAAAACACAAGGACAGCAGGCATTGTTTTGAAAAAACGAAAAATTAAAATTTTCTTCGGAAACAAAGGACCAAAAAGTTATTAATGTAGAATATCTGTTCTCTGCCTTTTTACTGGAGTACAACCTGCCACTGAATGCATCGGATCACGCTGCAGTTTTATTTAGAAAAATGTTTCCTGATAGTGAAATCGCTAAGAAATACTCAAGAATCAAAACAGGTGCAATTGTTAAAGAACTGGATTTGAAAAACAAATCTTCAGTTATTGATTGCATTAAAACAGCTCCGTTCTGCCTCTCTACGGAAGCCATAATACCGATTCAAAACTATCCAATTGTTGTTTCCTTTTTTAATCCAGAGTCCTTAGAAATTGAGTGCAGTTTACTTTCTGTCCCCATTTTAGAAGGACATTTGACAGGTTTTAATATAGCACAGCTAATTATTAAAACTTTAAATGAAAATGCAGTTCCTCTGGATAATTGCTTAGCACTTGGTGCCGATAATGCACCAGTATTTGTAGGCTTGAAGACTGGTGTTACAGGCATCTTGAGAAAGGAAAATTCAGATTTGCAGATTATGAGGTGCACCTCTCACCTCTTGAATTTAGCAGCTGAAAAAGGGGCAGCTTCTTTACCAATAAATGTGAATGAACACATTGTTGATATTATTATTATCTTGAAAGGAGTTCTAAAAGGAAGGAAAAATTGAAACAGTTCCAACAGCTGCATAACAGCAGTTTACAATTAGAAAACTTGGATGAAGTTATAAAATCAGCTAGGACTGACACCCAGTGGAGTTTAATTGGAAAATTGAAAGATGCTGATGGAATTTTAAAATATAGTGAACTGTCTAGAATTATGTTGGCCATCTTGACAGCTCCCCATAGTAATGCAGAGTATGAGAGGATTTTAAGTGTTGTTCGGAAAACGAGGACTAAATTTAGATCTAATATTAGTGATGACAAATTGGAAAAACTTTTTTTATTAGCGAAAGCAGGCCTACGTGGCAATTGCTGTGAACAAAATTATGAAATTTCTTTCTTAAAGAAAGCAAAATCTGCCACTATTTATAACATTTGTAAAAAAACTGATTAAAGTTGGTTTTTTTTTTTTTTTTTTTTTTTTTTTTTTTTTTTTTTTTTAAACAATGCAAGTAATAAAAATGTTTTTTATGTGTAAGGTATTTTTATGTTGCGTGCATTTAAGAATTAGTTACTATTTAAAGTTAATTCATTATCAAAAACTATATTTTCATCATTTAAAAAGTCTTTTTAACGTTGTGAAAAATCTCAGATTTCTTAAAAAAACTCTTGATTTTTTAGTGTCATAGGTTGGCAAGTATGGATTATGTTCATGGATGATGAATCTCTCTTTTTCTGTTCATGCAGTGCATAAACTTGCAATATGCACTCGTGCATATGACATCTACATTGCATGGTTATGATAATGTGAATCCATCATATACATTTTACCATTGTAGTATGGTTAATAAAAAAAAGAAACTAATATTGTTTTGCATATTTCCTTTCTATAAATTATCTCTAGAATTTCAATCATATATGTAATAAATTTTTTCTCACTTAGTCTTAATAAAAAATTACATGCAACTCCAAATATGATTCCTGTATAAATGAGTTAAAGCAGCATCTGTCTGGAAGGATAGGATCTTTTACAGGCACATCTGTGTTTTCTTATCTTTAAAAAAGTGAAAAAATGTAATCATTCTATGAACTAAATTAAAAGAGCCCTTTAAGTTTAGTGTACTCTTCCTCCTGGTAAGGTAGCCAAATATTTATCTGATGAATGTGAGGTAATGTTCGATCGCATAAATTTAAATTTATAAACTATATTGCAATTTTGTTAAAATTATCTGGATAGATGAAATATAATCTTAATATATAAGTTTCAGCCGTATATTCGTTAATAGTGCTTGTAATCACTCTTTT